ACGGAAGTAGGATTGCCCAACCTTCCTTCCGAGGAGTGGCTGGTGGGTTTGAACCGCCAGCCTTCTGGTTAGCAGTCAAGTGCCTTAGGCACTATGCTACCAGAGCTCCTGTAGGTAGCCTCAAATTCATCATGTCTCAAACCTAATTCATTTTGCTCTATCAAACGAATCATCCTGTTGCTATCTCTTTCTTTTAAACAGTTGTATAAACTAGGAAGTCTTGGATTCTGTATTTTATCGATATCCCTCTTGTTCAGTACAAGTTGTATTGATTTATTTTCCCCAGTGTCTCTTGAATTCATCTGTATTTATTTTACTTTTACTGATCTTATTAGCCGCCTTCATGACCTCCCCATGCCTGTTGAAATGGCTTATGTACTAACTCATTTCTCTTCCTCTACTCTCTCTGCCATACATACAATCCATCATTTTTGTGTGTTTTTCTTTTCTCATAAACTCTTGTTTCTCTCTGATTTCCAGAAAATAAATTCCCGGTGGTTAGAGCCTGCTTTTCCCCTGTCTGTAGCACTTGGAATACACCATTTCTTAGCAATTAAATTACTATGTAATTTAATGCCTCTGTTTATTAGCTGTTTGTTCTACTTGTATGCCTCTCCCACTATCTTCTTTCTTCCTGTAAGAAAGCCAACTGCTTTAGTTTTCAAATTGAGGTCAAACATCTTATCTATAAAGCTTGTACTGTCATCTGTCTTGTCCTCCCTTGTATATAAGAAGTTGCTGATCCTCATTTACAGTCTCATGGCCCTTAAAAAAATTTTACACTGGTAATGCATGAATATATTCTTATTTTAAAAGACATTTAGCAATGAGATGTATATATAGAATAAAGGGTGAAGTTGTGAACCTTGTCTGCTTTTTAAGATTCCAATCCCATTTCACTCCCAAGTTCGGTTTATATCTCTTGGGTAAATAAATACCCAGGAGTATAATTGCTGTGTCATGTCACATGTTTACTAATTTTAGATTGAATGTTGGACATTGTATTACATTAGCAAGTATCTAGAATTTCTTCTCTTCCTTTAGAGACTGTTGAAATTTGTTTTCAGTGGCAGTTAGGTCATTTAGGTATCTTCTTGATCCTTTTGAAGACTGTTTGTAAATGCTTTTATGAGTTGGATTTAAACTTTACTCTTCCCTAACCTAGTCCAGCTGCTGAAGTGTGGCTGTTTTGTAGTTGTTAACTGAGTGCCCTGGGTCTGAAACCAGGTCTCTCCATTCTGGCTAGTCAAAACTGGGATGTCTCCCAGCACTGTAGTGCTCTGGAAATTCTATAACCCTGGTAGTTCTTTGCCTGGCCTCATGGGGCTTCATCATATGTCTGCATAGATTAGCATTAAGCAAAAGGGAAACACCTGCAGATTCCTGGAGTTGTTCTCTGCTTAGCTTCCATCTGTCTGATACTCTGAGTAACATTTAGAACCTAGACCTTTCCCCACAGATTGTAGCTATTTCTACTTTTCTGAATTTTGCTCTTTCTCTCCTTAACTTAGTAAGACTACTGTACTATGCTTGGCTTCTCTCACCCTATGGCATTCTGGAAAGTGACTTGTGCAGAAAACTTGGTTTAATTCCCTTCACTTAGAGTCACTCTTATGCTGCCTGTCATTAGTATTTGAATATGGCATATAACATGTCCAGTTTTCTTTTTGTTTCTACAGGGGAGGGGCTAGTTTCACAATAGTTACTGTATTAATAGAATAATAAAATGAACCCCTTTGTGCCCATCAGGAGTCCCTGGGTGGTGCAAATCGTTAAGCACTTAGTGGACCAATGGTAAAGTTGGCAGTTTGAATCTGTCCAGAGGTATTTCAGAAGATAGGCCTGGCAGTTTGCTTCCTAAAGGTCACACCATTAAAAACCCTATGGAGCACGGTTTTACTCTGAAACACATGGGGTCTCCCATGAGTCTGAATGGAATCGGTAGCAACTGGTTGGGTTTGGTATGTGCCTATCACTCAGCTTGACCAATTTTTAGTCTTTTTGTATTGGTATATATTTAAGTACATTTAAGATATCATTTCAGTTTTATTCAGAAATATTTTCATATTTATAGATATTCTAGTAAATGGTTGTATTGTCCACAAATAATGAAATATGAGGTGTAGAGTTTGAGGAGAGAAATAATTCTGATGATTCCTTTCCTCCTCCAAAGTTCTGAACCTTTCTATATCTTTGGTTGGAGATCCAAACCCTCTTGTTTCTAGAATTTACCCAGGAATGCCAGAACATCCTAGATAAGCCTGGCACATCCCAGAATCATCTTAAGATTTGGAAATCTTGAATGGAATTTTCACCATCATCTAAACAATTATTGTATGCCTGCTCTCATTTGTAAGACACAGTGCTATACTGTAATGCTGAAGAGGTATAAGATGTTTATGGAGAGATAAATCTTTAAAATCATTGATAATATAAAGTGACAAATGACAAGGTAAATGAATAGACCCAGAAGTCATAACAACATTCAAGGAAGTTTTGTAAATAAGGAGACTTGAGCTGTACTTGGGAGCAAATATAGGCCTTACATGAATTATGTTTTATAATTAACTGCACTCTTGAAGGTTCTAGCTAGTCAAAACTGAGATGTCTCCCAAATCCACAGGGTGTCTTTCACACTTTTCTTTAGTTGACACTTAAAAATTTGAAAGCACATTAGAACATGCTGAGATAAATGCCTGTAGAATTTAATAGGGTAGTGACGGTTTTCTATATTACCTGGTCTGGTCCTCCTAACCATACTTGACATACATTAAGAGCAGTCTTTGTTGTTGTATTTCTTTCAAGACATTTCTGTAATTTTTCTGATACACTCAAATTCGGTTTTTATATTTAATGAGAGATTATTCCCACCTCAAAGCGATGGGAAGTTTGACCCTTAATTGACCCATCCCATAAAAAGCATTTCATTTTTCATTGCCCTTGCAAGCTACTCGTTTACCTGAATGCTGCCTTCTCACTCATTTAGTTGCAAAACTTGGAAATTTTAATCTATGCAAAATATGCTGTATAAACAAAACTCTCATACTAGCTTACTTTCATTTTTCCTACTTACAGTATTTTTCTTGGATATGAGATTACAACCTTGAATATATATACTGTAGTTTAGAGGTGTGGAGAAGAGTATGATATTTGGAATCAAAGAGGGCTAGGATCCAATCCTGGTTCTACCTTTTATGGGCAATGACTTTGGAAAAATTACTTTTTGAGTTATTTTCTATGCTTTCTTGTATTTCTCTATAAAATCTGTTGCTTTAGGTTAATGTTCAGGTAGTGGTTTGACAAAAATTTCCTTAAACACTAAAGTAAAAAAAGGAAAAACTCTCCAGTTTGTGATTGGTTCCATGTTGGTACATTATCAGTAGGATCTCAATAAATTGCACATTACTGTTATCTCAGTTGCTTTTTGAAATGTTAAACTTAATTTTCCTTCAGTAGACATTTAAAACAGTTTAAATGTGTTGAGAAAAGAAGGAAATTCAAGTTCAGTAAGATTGGATTTAAAATGAACCAGAATTTGAAGAATGACAAAACCTTAAGAAAATTGCCAAAAAATACAAGTGCTCTTAGTTGAAAGCAAATCTTAAATTGAGTCATGTATCAAATGACAAGTCACAAACTTGACTGTTTTCAAAAAGTTTGGCAGCAATATTCACTTACGCTGTACTTTAAAATTCCAAGTGTCTACAAATAACGCTTTATCATGATAAACTCATTATTTACTATAAGTTCATTTTATAGAAGCATTAAAGCTTGTTTTAATATATATATTATACTCTCAAGTAATATATGTATATCAAATATAAAAGCAATATTTTTTAAAACTTTCTATGAAGAAAGAAACTCCACAGACCAGAGATGAGGGCAACCTAGTGTCTACTTCACAAACTGGGCCTTAACAAATCCTACGTAAATCACTTTTTGTAAATAAAGGATTGCACTGCGTTTTTGCAATAACCCTGAGATTTGTAGTTTCTGATGTCTCTTCACTTTGATTCTGAAACTAATTTATATTATTGGATTTCATTTATTGAAATTCAAAACAGTGTATCAAGATTAAACTTTAAAAGTACGTTACTGGAAAGCTTTCTCTGTTTATAAATAAGCCAAATTGTCTGAAGAATTAGCTTTACACAGCTACATGCTAGAAACACAATTCTCTTCACCTGAGAATCATCATGACTTAACTATTGTAGGTTGGTTGTTTGCTTAGTGAGTTTTCTAAGCTTTTTTGTAAAGACTGTTCTTTGCCTGCATGATCTGAAGTCTGTTGCTTTAGGTTAATGGTCAGGTAGTGGTTTGACAAAAATTTCCTTAAACACTAAAGCAAAAAAAAGGAAAAACTCTCCAGTTTGTGATTGGCTCCATGTTGGTACACTCCTTGAATTCTTAGACTGTTCATAACTATCTCAGCCTTCACTGAGTTGCTAATCCTTTAGATCATCTAGAGATGAAAACTTGTGGTCTTTTCAAGTCTTTTCTGATCAGGCATCTTGCCCTGAGCATGCACATGGCTTTCTAGATTCCCAGTATATGTGGGAGCTTTTCAAAGTCTTGCATCCTGAATCTGACCTTAATTCTGATACCAAAACCGAAAAATAAGAATCAAGGATGAGATGTGGACCATGGAACATACACTATGTGTCCTGACACATAATTTTTCATAGTTACCCAACTCAGAAACAGCCACTAGTCATTTCAAACAAAATGTCTGCTAGTTCTCTTGAGAGTTCACTTTTACTTTTTTCTCGTAAGATTTCCATATATCCTACCCCTTGTCCCCAAATTACATTGTTCAGATTCACTTTAGATACATCTAGTATAATGGAATTTAAATCTGTTTTTCATTTGAAAATCTAAAAGATGAATGTTTGATTCATATGTTTAATTATGCTGACCTTACTTGATTGAGTACATATATATTCATGGAGGAGAATTCAGTATTTTTCTCTTTAATCCTGTGTATTTGTCTTTTCTTTTAGAGGAAGTCCACAAACAAAGGGAACTCCTCATTTTAAGGAAGAGCAGTGTGCTCCAGCATTAAATTTAGAGATGAAGAAAATATTGGACTTGCAAGCACCTATCATGAGGTACAATACTTGGGTTAAACTTAACATTGGTTATGACAATATATGCTTTAGCTGGTTGATCACAGTCATTAAAGTTATGTTCATAGAGTTGAATGACCAATATTGGCTTACTCTTTTTCCCTTCCTGGCTCCAGCACACATTTACTATATGGCCATCAAGAAGCTTGATTTTATTTATTTATTTTAATTTATTTTATTATTTTGTTATTGGTGTTGAGAATGTACACAGGAGAACATAAACCAATTTGACAATTTTGCATGTATGATTCAGTGACATTAATTATGTTATTTCAGTTTTGCAACCACTCTCACCCTCCTTTTACCAATTATTCCTCCTCCGTTAACATAAGGTCACTACCCCAAGATTGCTATCTAATATTTTGGGTGGCTATTGTCAGTTTGGTCCCATAAAGATAGTTCTTAAAAGAGCGTAATGCTCAAGGCAGACCTTTATATTCATTAAGCTAACCTATGTTCAGTTTTAAGACAACTTCAAGAGTTTTTTGGGTTTAAAGTTTACAGATCAGGGCAATAGTTTCAGGAGTTCATTCACTCTCCATGGCTCCAGAAAGTCTAGAGTCCATGAAAACTTGAAGTTGTGTTCTGCATTTTCCTCATTTTGATCAAGATTTTTCTGTGGAATCTTTAATCAAAAAGTTCAGTAATGCCATACCCCATCCAGTTCTTCTGGTGTCAGAGCAAAGGAGGCAGTTGTTCATGGAGGGACTTAGCCATGCATTCCGTATCCTCCTCCTATTTCTGGTTCTCCTTCTTCCACTGTTGTTCCATGAAAGGAGAGACCAATTGTTATGTCTTGGATACTGGCTTATAAGCTTTTAAGATCCCAGAGACTACACAATGAACTAGGAAGTAAAGCAGAAGCACAAAACATGTTATTAGGCCATTTAATTGGAATGTCCTATGAAACCATGACCCTAAACCTCCAAACTCTTGGGAAATAAATCCCATGAGGTTTTTGGTTGTACGTAAGCAGCCTCACCAGGAGTTCTGGTGGTATAGTGGATAAGGCATTTGGCTGACCTTAACCAGAAGGTCAGTGGTTCAAACCTGCCAGCTGGTCCATGGAAGGAAGATGAAGCAAACTACTTCTATAAAGATTTACAGCCCTGGAAACCCAGTGGTTGGGAAACCCAGTGGTGGTGGCTATGAGTCAGAATCAACTCAATGATAATAGGTTTGGTTTATTTTTATTTTTTGTAAGCAGCCTCAGCAGCTACCTTTTTTTTGGTCATTGTTATAAATATATCTATCACACTGCTTTCACCAAATCAACTTTTTGCAGTATATAACCTGTTGACAACAATTACAATATAAGTGATGTGCTACAATATTTGACCTTCTGTGATTGACTTATTTCAATCAGCATAGTGTCGTCTTCTCCATCTATACCGTAGCATGCATCAAGACTTCATTTCTCCTGCTGGCTGTGTAGTATTTAATTGTATGTATGTACTATAGTTTGTTTATCCATTCATCTGCTGATGAACATTTAGGATGTTTTCAATTTTTGACTGTTGTGAATAGTGCTGCAGAGAACATTGGTGTACACGTCTTTTTTTTTTTTCAGTTGTGATTTGGGTGAAAGTTTACAGTTGTTCATTTTCTGTGCAACAGTTTATATACATTTTGTTTCATGATACTGATTTCAATCCCAGAAATGTAACAGCACTCTTCCTACTTCCTCTCTATGGTTACCTTTCCCTTGTGTCCTCCTTTTCCTGTGTATGCCTGCCCTCTGAGCTGTCTCCCTGTGCAAAGACTGCCCGTCTGATCTCCCATGGTTAATTGTTCTACAGAGTATAACTGCCTGGTGTAAATGTTCACCTTATATGCCTCTTGTTTGGCTGGAAGCCGTAGGAGTGAGTTCAGTTCCAGTCCTGAAGGGTGACTAGGGGGCCATAGTTTTGGGAGTTTCACCAGTCTTTGTCAGACCAGTGAGCCTCATTTTTTTATGATGTAGAGCCTTTTCTACATTTTCCTCACTCTATCCAGGATCTCCTACATTGATCCCTTTCCAAGTGGTTGACAGTGGTAGCTGGTCACCATCTCGTTCTTTTGGTCTCAGGGTCATGTAGGCTGAGGTTTACATGTCCACTAGTTGCTTGGGCTGATGGCTTCCTTGTGTCTTTGGTTTTCTTCATTCTTCTTTACTTTGGACAAGAAAAGACCAATTGTTGCAACTTAGATGGCCTTTTGCAAGCTTTTAAGACCCCAAAGTAGGATGTAGAACAGTGTTTTTTGTGTAGTATTTCAGTTGAGCTTGATGTCCCCTGCAACCATGGTCCACAGTCCATGGTCGCAGTAGCTTGCTCCCTCAAGGTGTTTGGCCATGGCTGAGAAGCTACCATAACTTTACCTCCTGTTAGCTCTATTATATGTATATGGACATTCTTATATTAAAAAAAAAAAAAAAACAATGCCACTGAGTTGATTCCAATTCATAGCAACCCACATCAGGTTTCCAAGGTAGTAAATCTTTATGGAAGTGGATTGCCCAGTCTTGCTTCCACAGAATGGCTGGTAGGTTTGAACCACCAGCCTTCTGGTTAGCAGTCAGATGCCTTAGGCACTGTGCTGCCAGAGCTAATAGTACATACAAATATGTATGTAGAAATAACATCTGCCTTCATGTCTTATTTTGAGTCTCAGCTTTCAAGTCTTTTGATATATATACCTAGGAATGGAATTCCTGGATCATGTGGTAGTTCTGTTTTTAATTTTTTTGAGGAACCATCGCACTGTTTTCCACAACAGCTATACCATTTTGCATTCTCACCAGCTATGAATAAGGATTCCAATTTTCCCACATCCTCACCAACATTTGCTTTTATTTATTTATTTTTTTAATCTTAACTATTCCAGTGAGAGTGAAATGATACGTTCTTGTGGTTTGTATTTGCATCTCTCTAATGGCTAGTGATGCTGAGCATCTTTTCATGTTTTTGGTGGCCATTTGAATGTCCTCTTTGGTGAAGACTATTCAAGTCCTTCACTCATTTTATGATTGGATTATTTGTCTTTTTGTTGTCATCAGAGTTTTATATATATTTTGTTTTTTAGATTCTTGTTGGACATGTGTTTTCCAAAAATATTCTCCCAGTTGGTAGCTTGTCTTTTCACTTTTTTGGTGAAGTCTTTTGATGCACAAAAGCTTTTAATTTTTATGAGGTCCAATTTATTTATTTTGTCTTTTGCTTTTGTACTTTTGTTCAACTCCTTCATCCATTTTGATATTTTTTTAAAATAGTGTGAGGCATGGATGCTGTTTAATTTTTCTGCATATGGAAATCCAATATTTCCAGCACCATTTATTGAAGAGATTCTTCTTTCCCCATCGAATGGACTTAGCATCCTTGTAAAAAATTAGTTGACCACAGATGTGTGGGGTTATATCTGAACTCAATTCTGTGTGTCTGTTGTTATACCAGTACTGAAACTGTAGAAACCCATTGGCATTGAGTTGATTCCAACTTAGCAGTACCACACCATACCATCATAGTTCCTTTATTAGTAGCTATAAAGTATGTTTTGAAATCAAAAGTGTGGTTCCTCCTACTTTGTACTTCTCTTTCAACATTGTTTTAGCTATTTACGGCCTCTTGCCATTCCATGTGAAGTTGATGATTAGTTTTTCCATTTCTGTAAAGAAAGCTATTGGAATTTTGATTGTGATTACATTGACTCTATAGATCACTTTGAAGAGGGGAGTACTGACAACTTGGAAATATTAAGTCTTCCAATCCATGAACGTGGAATATCTTTCCATTTATTTAAGTCTTATTTAATGTTTTTCAGCAATATTTTATAGTTTTCATTGTTTATGTCCTTCATGTCCCTGGTAGATTTATTGCTAGGTATTTTATTCTCTTAGATGCTGTTGTAAATGTAGTTGTTTCCCTAATTTCTCTTTCAGATTTCTTATTGCTAGTGTATAGAAACCCAACCAGTTTTTGTTTGCTGATAGTATCCTGCAACTTGGCTAAATTTCTCTATATGCTCTATAAGTTTTCTTGTGGATTCTTTGCGGTTTTCTGTATATAGGATCATATCATTCACAAATAAAGGATTTTATTTCTTTTAATTGAAGATTATTTTGTTGTTGCTGTTAGGTCCTGTCAAATTGTCTTCAACTGATAGCTACCCTATGTACAGCAGAACGAAACACTGCCCAGTCCTGTGCCAACCTCACAGTGCCTACTATATCCAAGCCTATTACTGCAGCCACAGTGTCAATCCATGTTGTTGAGGGCCTTCCCCTTTTTTGTTGACTCTCTGCTTTACCAAGCGTGACATCCTTCTCCAGAGAATGGTCCCTTCTGACAACATGACCAAAGTAGGGGAAACAAAGTCTGGCCATTCTTGCTTCCAAGGAGCATTCCAGCTGTACTTCTCTAGGACAGATTTGTTAGTTTTTTTTAGCAGTCCACAGTACTTTCAGCATTCTTTGCCAACACCGCAACTCAAAAGCATCAACTCTTCTTTGGTCTTCCTTATTCATTGTCCAGCTCTCACATGCATATGAGGCTATTGAAAATACCATGGCTTGGGTCAGGTGCATCTTAGTCTTTAAGAAGACGTCTTTGCAGTTCAGCACTTGAAAGAGGTCTTTTGCAACAGATTTGCCCAATGCAATATGTCTTTTGATGTCTTGAATGCTGCGTCCATTTACGTTGATTGTAGAACCAAGCAATATGAAGTCTTTGACAACTTCAGTCTTTTCTCCATCTATTATGATGATGCTTATTGGTCTGGTTGTAAGGATCTTTGTTTTCTTTATTTTGAGGTATAATCCATACTATAGACTGCAGTCTTTAATTTTCATCAGTAAGTGCTCCAAGTCATCCTCACTTTCTGAATCCAGCTTGCATTTCTGGAAGTTCTCTGTCTATATACTGATCTTCGGTAAGATTTTACTTGCGTGTGATGTTAATGATGTTGTTCGATAATGTCCATATTCTGTGGGATCACCTTTCTTTGAA